TGAGTGAGTGAGTGAGTAGGCCTAGTTTCAGAGTAAAAATATTTAAAAAGAAGTTCTTGTAAATATTCAGGTCAAACAACCTATAAAAACTATGGCATCAACTTACCACCTTTATCTAAAAGTAACATGGCAACATGCTGTGAGAAGGCCACTGACCTTGAGGTAAATGTTCCCATCTTTTACCACAGGCGTATACGGGACACCCCCGCAGCGCAGGGGGCCCCCTCACGGCGTTATGAGCCAATTATAGTTAAGCTTCCCTATCTACAACCATTTTTCGCTGCATAGGAGACATCAAGCTGTGTGAATCCACTGATTTTTAATGTGACAGAGTCAGCGTTGATGCATTCACACACATTCACGATTGCAGCAAACAATGTATCACACACTCCAATGTTGATTTCTCAGATAAAAAGATATGACAGAAAAATAGAATGTAGAATAGAACATATTTCAGCACAGAAAATTAAAAATAAACATAATGAGATGTTGTCCAAAATAACATCACTGTATGCCATACTATTTCACTATCAACTTTATTTTTAATGTAAGAGCGAGTGCTGCCATTTTTAATTTGAATGTGCAAGGCTTCCGATTTTAGTTGCTTTCAATTAGCCTAGTTTAGGTTATGTTGATGGTGCAAACTATTTCATTTTTATTAATTTGCGTAATTTGTTTGTCGCCCAAAACTTTGTTCTGATCATTGTTTGCATATTTCTACACATTAAATAGACGTCTGGCACATTCACAGGTAATAGCATCTGCTCTGAAAAATAAGGTGGATAAATAAAAACGCTCGTAATCGACGTCACAGCTTGTGAGCGGGGCCTCGTGACAACAAGTCATTTGACATGTTCTTTTTAACTCCATAGCATAATTTTTTTTTAATTACGCTGCATTATTTCAGTTCTAATGTGTCGGAAAACAGCAAAGTACTATCAAGTTCGTGCCTACTAATGGATTAATACACGTGCCGTCCATGTGCGCTTCATTCCATAACAGACTTACATCAAAGGACGTCTACTCTTGTAAAATCTACTCAAAGTAGTGGTACCTGAAGAGAAATGTAAATTTCGATCAGCATATTAGCGCAGAATATATTATCATTTGCGGCTGCAGAAGAAACGGCGCTGAAAGAGCAGTTGTGAAGACGCGTTCAACAGATGGGCGACTGCTCTTCTTCACGGCCGCAGACCTGTACGGACAAATCGTGCTTTGATTAATTAGCATAAAGCCTGGTCGGGAATGTTATTTGAAAGACAGCTGCATTGGCTTATTGACTAAACGATTATCAGTGTGTCGGTTATTGAGAATAGAAACTGAATTCTATTTTAAGTTCCGTCGTTAAAGGCAACTACAGCGGGCGCCAAATCACAGTTGTATCACCTTCAAATAACATTACAGTAGCGCGGTGACAGTAGAGACGGTCTTTAAACGTCGATATGGACACAATATAACGAGAAAAATCAGACAGAACCTACAGATGTAGGGGGAAAACGAGACGCAACCTTCAACACAATGTTTTCTACATATAGTTTTCCTTTGAGACTTACCGATTGATCATGTCACTCAAGGCAAGCTCACCATGAACGTGGTCTGGCTGGTAGCCTATAAAAACACATTTTCTCCAAGTTAATGGTCGAGGCTTGAATAGGAAGGGCAACAATACCTCGATCCTGAATGCATTTCTGTTCTGAATGATGCTCATAAGTATAATGCAGAGTGCACTTGATTCTGAAGACAAAAATTAGACTTAGTTCAAATTCACAGACGACACTTTCACATATTCCCACTTAAAGGATCATGAAGTAAATGGATTCAAAGTGGTCGGTCTATGATAATACGCTGCTCTTTTTAGACAATTTAAAATTCACAGAGATTGCGAAGCAACACGTTATCGTATGGATATTAAAAGAAATAGAAGCACTAACATACCTTTTCTCTGTCAGCAGTAGTTATTCTGTATTCCCCGATTTGTTCCGTAGATGCAAATACAATTTGCCATCCATGACACGACTCAGTTTGAGATTGAGTAGCTTTCACCACAATCTAACCTCGCAAAATACGAATCCGAGCTATTTTCAGAGGATTAAAAAATAAAAAACTGAAAGGGCAGACTCTAAATAACATTGGAATAAAAGGTGGAAACAACTAAACTAATCAAACAAAATAAATAAAAAACAGAAGAGAAAACAACGAAGGGAAATAAGAAAAATGCGATAATTTTTTTTAAAATGCGGTAGAAAACGAATTGACTAGTTCACAAACTGAGGGCTCCAGTAATTCCACGCTGCGTCTCTGTATTCCAAACGCACTGAGTGCGCTCTGTAACGGGGAACGCCGATCTATCCGTTTATTCCCAATCTGCTGCGGTTTTACTTCCTGGACTTCAACTTGCAGTAGCATCACTTACACCTGAGCGTCCGTGTGAATATACATTTGCCTTCTCTTCCTTTCGGCTTCGGCAGAACCTTTTCCATGCAGTGGCATCCGAGCTCTCGGTAAAGAACCGCCGCACTCAGTCAGGCGTCTGGAAGCCCGCATTCACTGTAGGAGCGAGGAGGATAGAGGCGCGTTCACGCTCTTCTTTCTCAAGGGAGTTGGACGCGCGCGCTGTTCACCTACGTCAGCCGGCGCGTGCTCCAAATAGAACGCTGGGGAAGTTCGTTCCGAATTCTCATTTGGCGATTCGATTTCGCAGCTGGGAATAAATATAATGTTATTATGCATTGGGTTTATGCTTCCTTTCTACCTGCAGGCTGGAAGTGTTGTCGTCAAAAGGAGAATGAAGTGAGTAGGCAACTTGACACCAAATGAACCAAACACACGTATATGACTTGTGTTGTGGTAAATTTGACGCCCCCCAGTTTCTTCATGGTCTAAATCAGGGGTGCCCAAAAAGTTGGAGCTAAACTCTGCAGGACACCGGCCCTCCAGGACCGAGTTTGGGCACCCCTGGTCTAAATGTTTAATGGGTACAATAGTTTTTGAAGCTATGCATGGACTATTTGACAAACTGTGGTAGGCTATCAAAGAGACACATGATTAAATGTGTTGAAGCATTACATATATTGAAACAGCAGTTTGCAAGTTACAAAACTCAGCACTCTGGCATGGAATGATACAGCCTTTTATATCCATGAAGTAAGTTCAGTCAGCATAAATTGGTCTGTAATAATCAGTATTTCTTAAGCAAAATCAGACTTTCATTTTGTACTGAATATTTTATGATCTGGGTGAATCATGATCATATCTGAATCGAGTTACTGCTTATTTACTTAAGCTAACCTCTTAAGTGTCACCAGCCCACAGCCATTACATAATTTATTGCCTTTTTACCCTATCAAATATTTTAGTAATCACCCTAATTAGATATCATTTGAAAGCTTAAAAACTCCAAATTCATCCTGTGAAAACCATTTTGAAATCGGACATTGCATTACCATGGAAATGTTATTTTAAAATCTTTTGGCGGTCTCCTCCCCCTAAGTGGGCGGTGTTAAGTGTCATATTACAAAATGTATTACGGTATTTTACAATCAGATTTTTTTAGAATCTTGACAAAATACATATAGTTGGAAAGGTCTGAGTCTCAAGTCTTGTGATAGAAGTAATATTGACAGAGAAATTTAGACATTTGTGACAGAAAAATGCATTATAAAAATCAATGGAGTTTGGGTGTCACCCGGTGGCTGTTTGTGGTATAACGGCATAAATAAA